ACAACAACAACAACAACAACAACAACAACAACAACAACAACAACAACAACAACAACAACAACAACAACAAACATGCGTACAACAACGACAACAACAACAACAAACATGCGTACAACAACGACAAGCTACCAGCCTTCCCAGGGCATCAGGTAGCTGCAACAGGCATCAACTACAAACAGGCGTCACACCTCTAGAACATATCATTTTATCTAGCATAAGAAGTGTTGGTACATCATGGCATCATTAAAACAATAGCTAATCAGGTCGCAGCCGACGCCTCTGCATCCTCCTGAGTGCCCAAGTCCGGGCCACCCTCTCCTCCATGCTCAATCAGGCGTTTTCCACCGCCGACATCAGTCATAGGCCAGGTTGAAAAGAGCTCGTAGCACGGCGATAGTGATGTCCGGGAGAGGGCCATGGAAAAGCTGCACAAATTTGTTAGTGGCCGCCTCAGTGAGCTGCTCACCCTCGTCCACATTGCATATACGCTGGCTAAGAAGCATCTCGGCCAGCATCGCAATAGGTCTTTAATTTTTGTTTTTAGTAATCTAGTTTCAGTTTGTCCATCGTCTGAACTGTGGTGAACTTTTGGTGATGCTTATGTGAATTACTTCTGTTTGCTGTCGACTTATATGTTTGTTTGCTGTTGCATTCATATGTTCGTTTGATCCGTGTAATTTAGTTCCACGTTGTATGATATAGACACGGCCAATTGAGAATTTTCCTGTCACTGTCCGTGCGGACCCGCCCGGACGCGTCTTGGGCATATAGGGTGCCGGATTTGGCAACTTCGGTTGTAGATGCTATAAAATAGTTGTGGTAGCAAATTTCCTTGCCAGTTGTCACCGGTAACCCAATGGACATGTCTTTGTATTTGATTAACTACTAGTAGTACGATACTTGGCTAGTTTTTGTTAGATCGAGCGGTGAGCCTAGTGGATCGATCGGACCCCTCCCATGAACAAGTTGGTCAATCCGTCGTCGCTTTCTTTCTTTTTTGTTTCTTGGGCCGGCCAATGACATGGGTTTGTGAAACCCGGCCATGACGCACGCGCACTGCTGTGTGGATGGATGATTTGGACGTGCAGACGGGCCAAAGCTTTCCTTGCTAGCCGTCCATTGGAGCGCCTGGTGCGTGCTACTTTGCACTGGCCATGCACGTCATGGCTGGCACTATCGTACCTACGTGTTTCAGTTGCTCGAGCAACGCAAAAGCCTAGGGCGGTAGTACGGCATATCATTGATCACTCGCTAGCTAAGTTGGCTCGTCGTCGTCGGTCCATTGCCACTGAGAGTTTGACTTGTACGGCACTCCATACATAGTGCCGCACGTACGTACGTACGTAGTGTTTAAAAGAAGCACGGCATGCACACCGCCGAATAATTTGTACACAGCAGTCAGCCGGTTTGGGCTCCCGGTTCAAGAAACTTTAGTACACAGAAGTGGAGCTAGTTTCACACCGGTCGTGGCACATGGTATATGCGAATACGTCGTCGTGCCGCGTGAGCGTCATGCTCTAGGAGGTTTTGCACCTTCAGGGAAACATCGTGGGTTTTCTATACGATTTTTTAAAGGTTTTTTATATTATTAGTTGTGTGTCGGAGTAGTTTTAGTTCACTTGTCTTGGAGAAAAATGTGCCGGACAGCACGGCCGGCCACGCGTTTGACACTTTAGCTTTGACCAACGAACAAAAAACATTCCCTGCTTCTCTGCCCACTGGGCACCGGATCCGCCCCGTCTCTTTACACTCTGGAACGACCAAATAGTCCGGCGTACACACGGCGATTTCCTTGGCAACCACGGCAAACGCGGCCTTTCTCGGGTCCCGGGCGCCATGTTGGATGCACGTTGCACCCAATTTTAATACGGACTTCACTCCGCTCCGTACTCCTACGCTTCACCTCTACGGGCTCTAGAGTGCACATAATTGGGTCACAAAACAAGGTGCCTGCTCAAACCTGTCAGATGATACTGTATGAGCTTGCACGAACTCCAAGAGCTCCACATCAGCAGCAGCAAGAAGAGAGAAGAGGATTGACGAGTATCTCCGTCTGGGGGTACGTAGTTATCCATACACATGGACACACATGAGTTCAGGCCCAGCTCTCTCGATCGGCTCCTGTGAGTGATCCGATCAGATGGATCTAATCGGCATGCGCTAGAGATGGACATGTGGTCAACGACAGTTTTCCTCGATCTGCACCACTGGAATCTCGTTGAAGGCAGTTTAGGACTAATTTGCACCGAATGTCTGGTCGTTGGTGGGCATGTGCGTGCACCGGGCATGCAGTCATGGCAGGTGTACAATGGCATCGGATTACAATAATGAGAAGGAAAGAATAGCTGCAGACGTAGCGAAGGTGAACTTATCAACCTGCTGCAGAAAATAGAAAACACGCCACCACTATTTTATCTACATATATCTAGCAGCAGGAGTACAGCATCTTTAAGATCAAAAGGCAGTGCTGAAACTATGGGAAAGCTCGGTACGATGCATTGACCAGCAGTAGTACTAGTACAGTACGAGCGACTTGTTTATGATGGTGAGAAGATGGTCGACGTGCAGGTGACCCGATGTCGGGCGGGCGGCGCCGCTGGCCATCTGTGCTTCCGATGCGCCGCGCGGACCAGCGGAATATGCGAGACTATCCATCTAGCTCACCGCTCACGAGCCTTCCTGCAGGGTGCAGTTGCCCCGTGATTGGCCGTCCTCTCGGCGGGTTTCCTAGTTCCCAATGCCGCGCTCCTAGACTAGGTACTAGGTAGGTGACCGCGAATTCAGCTGAAATCGCGAGACGGTGAGCCGGACAATGGTCGGGTCAATCTCTGGATCATCGTTTCCCGCCCTACTTTACTCGCCCACGGATTGACTCTATATAGTTACATCGTTTATCCAATTGGGATGTACTAGAAGGGAATGAACGACGCATGCATGATGCTGGCCTAACCAACGCGTCCCGTGCGAAGCATCAGGCGTGATCTAATCGAGCGCATTGCGTGTCGCGCTCCATCGCCGATCAAACATGTCATTTGCCAAATGGAGTTGTAGCGACGACGATCGACAACGGAGGTGATTTGGCACAACCTTTGCCAGCGACGGTCGCCCGAGATTTTACCGCAAGGAGATTTGGTGAGATGAGATGGGGGAAATAGAGCATGGGCGCGAAGCCCTGGCGGCATGGGTGCCGTAGGCGGGGCCGGTGGATCTCCTGGGGACACGTCTGAGACCCCGCCACGATCGCCTGGCTCCATTGCCACCACAGACCAGCAAGCGAGAAAAGAGGAGGGCGCGACATGAGCGGGGCATTCCCCCAACCATCTGCGAGGCCGGATGCGATGAAGCAGCGAGCCAACCAACCCCATCGCCCTCGCCCCGATTCATCTCTTCTCTCCTCCTCCTTTCCCACTGTCAGTTGGCCCTTCCCCTGCCCTGCCCCCACCGCGCGCCGCTCCTCCCCGATCGCCTCTCCCCTCCTCTATATATATATGCCCCGCGGCCTCCCCCACACACACACTCCAACTCAGTGGCAACAGCATCTCCCCTGTTCTGCCCGCCCGCTCGCTCGCCTCTGTTTCTTTTCTTTCTTTCCACGGCGGCTCTGCTCCGCTCCTCACCTCCCTCGATCGCACATACCATATATTGGCCATGGCGGTTCTCGCCGGCTCGCCCGCCGTCGATCACATCCCGCTCCTCAGGTCGCCCGACCCCGGGGACAACTTCTCCGGCATGCCGGTCGTCGACCTCTCCAGCCCTGGCGCGCCGCGGGCCATCGCCGACGCGTGCGAGCGCTTCGGCTTCTTCAAGCTCGTCAACCACGGGGTGCCCGCGGACACGATGGACAGGCTCGAGTCGGAGGCCGTCAGGTTCTTCTCGCTGCCGCAGGCCGACAAGGACCGCTCCGGCCCGGCCTACCCGTTCGGCTACGGCAGCAAGCGCATCGGGCTCAATGGCGACATGGGGTGGCTCGAGTACCTGCTCCTCGCCGTCGACGCCGCGTCGCTCTCCGCCGCCTGCGCCGTCCCGTCCTGCGCGCTCTTCCGGTACGTTCAAAATGGCTGCTGCCTGCGGTGCCCGCGCGAACGACGCGTGTCTGGTTGGTCTCACCGAGTGCTTACGTTACACGCATGGCGTGTGTTTGCAGGGCGGCGCTGAACGAGTACATCGCGGCGGTGCGGAAGGTGGCGGTGCGGGTGATGGAGGCGATGGCGGAGGGGCTGGGCATTGCGCCCGTCGACGCGCTGAGCGCGATGGTGACGGCGGAGGGCAGCGACCAGGTGTTCCGGGTGAACCACTACCCGCCGTGCCACGCGCTGCAGGGGCTGGGCTGCAGCGCCACCGGCTTCGGCGAGCACACGGACCCGCAGCTCATCTCGGTGCTGCGCTCCAACGGCACGTCCGGCCTGCAGATCGCGCTCCAGAACGGGCAGTGGGTGTCCGTGCCCTCGGACCGCGACGCCTTCTTCGTCAACGTCGGCGACTCGTTGCAGGTATGCCCGCCCGTTCCTCACCCCGACACGTGACGCCTTCTCGTGCACGCGCTGACCTGTTTCTTTTTCTACTACTACTAGCACATTTATACTATTCTACTAAAACGATTCGCACTGTGCGCTTTACCAAAATGACGTGAGGCATGATCAAATTGGAGATAGTGCACTAGTAGCACGCAGAGCCATCGTTTGGTTCGCATCATCGCCAGTAAAAACGAAGAACGTCCTATCACCCCGAGCAACTAACAAAAAACCGTAGTAAAATAAATAAATAAACCGAGAAAACGAAAGAAAGAAAGAGATGGTTGTGATGCGCGTCGGTACGGCAGCCACGGCAGAAGCAGGAGCAGGTGGCTCCCTCCCTGGACCAAATAACTGCTGCCGGCCCATCGCATATTCGCCACATCGGTATAAATCCGTTTACGCACATGAGCTTCGCGTGGTTGCTGCATGGATGGCATCTACTGTGATTGCCACATGTGTGCTTGCTGCCTACGAATCGTATCGTATCGTATGTAGTATGCCTTGATCCCACATACTACAGTTTTTTTTTCTAATATTTGGATGGATGTGTGTGTATATATAGGTGCTGACGAACGGGAGGTTCAAGAGCGTGAAGCACAGGGTGGTGGCCAACAGCCTAAAGTCTAGGGTTTCCATGATCTACTTTGGAGGGCCAGCGATGACACAGAGGATTGCACCATTGCCGCAGCTGCTGGGCGCGGGCGAGCAGAGCCTGTACAAGGACTTCACATGGGGCGAGTACAAGAAGGCTGCCTACAACTCCAGGCTCGGGGACAACATGCTGGCTCACTTCCACAGGTAGCCTCGCCTGCCGCCTGGGCCCGCTCAACGAGCAGCTTTTACCAACCCAGCCAGCTACCTAGCTTAGCTAGCTCTGCCGTGGCTTGTAGTATTTCCCACATGATCGATGAAGATGAAGAGGGCGGAAGCTACTACTGTACTAGAAAAGAAAAAGAAACAGGGCTAAAAGAAGATGATTTCAAGATTCACATGCAGCAGTAGAGCTGCGGAGGTAGCTAGTAAGTAGTAGATCCTTTTTGCGTGCGTGTGCGTGTACGTGTGACGTGTGTGTTCATAGTTGCTAAAACCCGCCTTTCCTCTTCGGGAATGCCGGACGAACAATGAACAGATAAGTTGACTTGATGAACAGTTAGTGTGAACCAGATATACTAGCAGAGGGTGGCATCAAAGTGATCTTCTGATCTTTTCCCAAATTCATGAGTGGCAGTATCTGGCCTCGATCTTGAAGCATAATTGGTTTGCTGCCAAAAATTGGCATGCCAATATTTGTCATTGTGTTAAATATTGGCAACTATTTGGTTGGCTACGAGTTATTTTGCCTCTCTCACATAAAGTTGCCAATAGTTGGCAAGTCTCGGTATTGCCAATAGTTGACAGTGCTAACATTTGGCAAGTTAAATATTGGTAGCAAACCAATTATGCTCTTGTTTTCTGTACCTCCGATAGCTGTAATTGTAGTGCCCGTAGCGTAGTCGTGTGTACACGTGGGCCTTCTGTTTAACCTGCCAATGATCCAGCGTTTCCCTTTCGCTCTTTCAACAGTCTTTCGTAGCGTGCGGCTTGAACGCGCGGTGATGGAGATCTCTGTCTGTCTTGACTTCAATTGCCAAAATGAATTGGTGCCTTTATTGCTGGCAGGCCAGCAGCTCGTTGGCATTACGAATCCTGGTAGGCCCGGTCCGACGGGGTCCATTGACGGAGAATTTCGGGCCTGCACCAGCGGGGGCCCGCCGTGCCACCGGAACTCATGGCCTGCCCGCCGGTGCCGCTTACCGCTGCTGATCCGCTACACGTTGCTTGTGACATCTTTTTCTCTCTTCTCGAGTCATGGATTTGTAGGGGCCACGCGGATTTTTAGTTGCACGCCCAAGTTTTTCGCTGCTGTTGCTAGTAGAGTACTTCTCACTCCTTTCAAAATAAGTGTCGTTGATTTAGTATTTTCTCCGGTCCTTTTTAGTTCGCATATAAGTTTTGTCCGAAGTCAAAATATCTTTACTTTTACCAAACTTATAGAAAAATGTATTAACATTCACAATGCCAAATAAATATAGTTAGATTCATTATGAAATTAAATTCATAGTATACATATTTGATATTGTAGATGTTGACACTTTTTAATATAAATTTGGTCAAATTTTGTAAAGTTTGACTTGACACAAATTTAATATGGGGAGTAAAATGGACCGGAGGGAGTACAACTTTAGTACATTGAATTGGGTCCTCAGACATGCTGATCTACTTGGGGCATGGGCTATGGGGGTAGCACCACCTGCGGGCTGCTCGGGTGTAAACCATAGCCACTACCCCAACCTGCCGCCACCCCTCCTTCCTCATCGCCGCCAGGCAAAGCCTACACGGTGGCGGTGGCCCTACCCTTTCCCACCCGCGAGGCAGGTTGTACAAGGCAGCTTTGCTTTTTGGTAGAGCTGGATGTTGCAGCGTCGGCTAGGCGCTCATAGGCGCGCCCGGATGGCGCAGTGCGGCGCGACGCGGAGGTGCATTGCGGCACAGTGGAGCACGCGGTCTGGCGGTAGTGCGACGCGTTTGTGTGGTGATTGCGGTCGTTGGGCCCAGTCTGGGCTTCGGCGGGCCGACATTTCTGCTGCCTAACCAGGGGCGCGGTAACGACTGTCGGGTGCCACCTTTGCTGGCACGTCGAGGATTTACATCGCAGTTCTACTGGTAGTTGGCCTTGGTCCTAGGGGGCATGGCGGTCCTGATGTGGGCCCTGTTGCATGGCGACCTGGATGTTGTTTGGCAGAGTGAATTCCCGTCAGATATCTCGGTAGTGGTCCAAGCGTAGCTAGAAGTTATGGGTCGGAGGTCACACGAGGGGTTTATCCAGGTTCGGGCCTCCGGAGAGTAATACCCTATATCCTACTAGTTTTGATGATTCATAATGAAGGGATACCTCATGCGAGGAATTACAATGGTGTATGAGATTGCTACCGAGAGTTCTCTATGTGGATAGATGATCAATAGGTACCCTAGACCTGGGGCAAGAGAGGTCTAGGGTTTTACAAGGCGGATGCAACCTGGGGCATTGCCGCCCTCTAGTCTTGGGGATCATGAAGGCCGTCCTCGTCTCCTAGGGTTCCACCGCATCCTGGGCCTGATGGGCCCCTTGGCCGATGAGGTCGGGCTCCTAGTCGTTAGCTACCCCTGGTACAGGACCCCGTCCTCATTGTCTCCGACGCATGCTAGGTGTAGATCGGTGTGAGGAAGTTGGTGCCGGCGCAAGCTGGGCGGGCTCTTCCTTCAAGCGTGGCCACGCTCGGCTCCATTGAGCGGCGGGCGTCGTCCAGCATGCGTGCGTGGGTCTAGAGGAGGCTTGGCAGACCAGATCCAGCGAGTATAATCTCGATCATGCGCGCGACAGTGTAGGCCAGTTAGTTTTGGCTTGGATTTCGCCTAGGTGCGGCGCGCGGTGGTGCAGGCCGGCTAGTTCCAGTGCTACCTAGACTATTCCGGTGCGCCGCGGTGCAGACACTTGCCTAGTTCTGCGCAAAGAGGTAAAGGTGGGCCATATCTTGCATGGCTTGCCAGGTCCTGCGTGCGGTGGTGCGGTTCCGTCAGGCTGGTGTGGCTCCGCCAATTTCCTGCGTGCGGCGACGACCAATCCATTTCTAGTAGTGCGTGCTTGATTTCGTCACACCCCGGCGACGTTGGTGCGGCCTCGGATCCTAGGATTGTAGGTGGAAGACTCAGCTCGGGATGAAAAATCTTGCATTGACCTGGTGCGGACGGTAACGGTGTCCTTGGATGTCGTCTTCCTCCTTAGATGTACCACTGTGTAGCTCGTTGCTCTTCCTCTCTTATGGCTTGAGGTCTCCGGTTGTACACCTAAAATCAGGCCTTGCCAGATCGGGCGACGATGGTGTCCTTGACATTGGTTCCTTCTTGGAGGCGTCACCTTGGAGACCATGTCGATGGATTCCGATGGTGTGCACGATTGATGGTGGAGCATGGGTTTGTGGTGGTGTCGACGGGCCTTTTTCTTTCTTTCTTTTCTTATTGCACTTGCCTTTTTTGTGGTGTTTTTCTCCTTTGAGGCTGTTTTTGTAGTACCTTCTTCTATGGCAGCTCTCCTGTCAATATTTGAAGAAAAAACATTGCTCAATGGTAGCAGTTGTCCCTTTCTTAGTCTTTTGTCACTAGTTCTTTCTCTTCTCTTAATTGATAAGCACAATATACCATGTAGTGCCTCAGCCATCACCCTTCAAACACCTTTGTTAATGAGGAACTCGGTCCTCTACAAGATCCCGTTTGCCTCTGTAAACATCACCTTTTGTTTGAGATGTACTGATTGAGCCGATGCGGCAGCTCGGGGAGCGGTCCAGCATGTAGCGTTGGCCATGCCCTTACAACCACTGCTCCACCCCTCCCCCTTCGAATGGTGGTCATGCGGCAGCATTTTTTGAGACTTCACTAGCACCGCAGTCATCATCAGTCTAAGCTGGTGCATGATTCTTTTTTGCACTTGCCTTTTTGCGGTGCTTTTCTCCTTTTGGATTTTCTTGTAATATCTTCTTCTAATTAATTTGGCAACTGTCAACATTTGAAAAAAAAAATCCATTGCTCAATGGCAGTAGTCGTCCCTTTCTTAGTCTTTCGTCACTAGTTCTTTCTCTTTTCTTAATTGATAAGCATACTATACCATGCAGTGCGTCAGCTACCACCCTTCAAACACATTTGTCAGTGAGGAATTGGGCTCCTCTGCAAGATCTCGTTTGCCTGTGCAGACAACACCTTTTGTTTGAGTTGTCCTGGTTGAGCCGACGTGCAGCCGGGGCAGCGGTCCAACATGTAGCGTCGACAATGCCCTTACAACCACTGTTCTAACCCCCTTTCGAAAGGTGGTCGTGCGGGCAGCATTTTTTGAGACTTCACTAGCACCACAGTCAACATCGGTCAAAACTGGTGCATAATTCCAGTTAACCGCATTTTACATTCGTGGCGAAGAACTTTCAGTTATGAACAGAACATCGCTGAGTCATGTACTTACGTGCATAGTTTGGGCTGGCGAATCTGTAAACAGAACATCGCTGAGTCGTCAGACCGAATCGCTTTCGTCCCATTGGTGGCGGAGTCCTGTACTTAGTGCGAGCTAACCAAATAACTAACTCACATAACTGCTCGTACGGCACAGCAAGCTATAGGTAGCTAAAGCTAGCATGGGAGCTTTGCTCGTCTATGGTCCTATGCTCAACGGCCACACTGCACATGCTCGAGACCATAGCGACAGGCTACGTCGCTCAGCTGGACGCACCGTGCACTGCGTACGTGCCTCTCCCCACACGGACGGGCCCCGTCGCCAGCAGAGTTAGCCCAGCTCGAATGACTATTACGTGTCATGTTAGTTTAACTACCTGGGTAACTTGTGAAAACGCTGCGCTCTCTCCCTTAAAAGTTGAAGAACAAGCACTCGTGGCATTGACATGCCGTCACATGCGCACTGTGTGGCCGATGGGACGGCACCCGTAGCTCGTGCTGCCGGCGTAGGGCATGCAGGTCGGACCGGACGAGCTCGCATTGCATGCATGCATGCATGCGATACGGTCAATGGGAATACGTACGCCTGAATATACCAGTGATCGTCGTCCTGGCACTGCTGAGCGTGACGGTGGGCGCCGTGCCAATAATGCAGCCACCGCGGCCATTCCTGCCGGTGAGAGCTACAGTAAGCTAGCCTTGTTTTTCTAGCTAGCCCCGTGGATTAGGCAGCAGCTAGAGCTAGCGGTCCATCTGGAGGATTCAGTAGCTGCGGAGAGGGTGGCGTTC